ACAGTACCTTTGTTGAATAACCTTGGGTTCTTCAAACCCCAGCCCGACTGATCTCAAACACAAACTAATCGAACCCGAACCTCTCTTGACCACTTCACTAATTACCGCTACTAGATTAATGGAACCCGCAACTCCTCAATCACCTTCACTCAGCTGAAAGTTTGTTGAGATGATTCGCTCCAAAACCCCCCAAATTCACCGAATCTTGGAGGACAAAACCCTCAAGGTTTTATTCAAGAAAAACCTGCCACAAAACTCAACCCGAACCGGATTTCCGATCAAAGGCTTCAGACCTTATCACCTTGAACAAACCACAATGCATAGCAAGAATTGTTGTGTGTAAATGTTGTGTTATGAAATGTTGAAGATGAAGATGATGAGAATCTAGGGCACCTATTTCACTTTTCTTGTTTATGTGCAATTGACTCAATGTTTCAACTGTTGTTGAAGAAATGAACAAAAACTTCTATTTATAGTAACCCAAAAACCAACAGACTTAACCACTTTTCAAACAAAGTGGAAAGTCTTCAGAAACTGCAGAAACGAGCGAACAGTCGACCATAGCAGGACTATGCATCGATGCATAGCCTGCAATTTTAGACAAATTCAAAATCTTAACAGCATGCGTCGACTATAGGTCAGCGTGCGCCGACCCGTAGGAATTTGCACTCTTCCATGTGCTGACCATGCGTCGACTTGTGGTCGACTCAAAACCTGTAGATTTGCAAAAAATACTTATTTTTGTGGATTTTGTGCTTCTAGACATAACCAAAGATCTTCCATATATATTGGACTCAATATGGCAAGTAGATAGACATGACATGCACTCAAGAGAGATATTTGAGAGGTATGATGCGCGTTTGCCTTGTGGTGGTAGAGCTGAAAAACCGATTCTTCCATTGATTGCGTTTTGACATCATCGAAACCCAAGTATGTATGGTATATGAGAATTTTCCCTCACACAGATGATTCCTTACAAAGAGTCCTTCACATAGTCCATTGGGTCATTATTTGATGGCAGTATTGGTGCAGCTTCGGTAGGGCCTGCTTCCCCAAACAACCCTCTTGCTCCAAGTGTATCTGGTTCAAGCTCACATGAAGGTGCTTTTGAGACTAGTACAAAATTATCGTTAGATGGATAACCAAGTTAATCAAATGAAAATTCTATTGTGGTTAAGGTTTCAAACTTAAATAAAGTCAAAGAAAGCTATACTGAGGAATCACTTTAGGTACGTTCATCAGGTTCTTTTGACGCAGACTCTGTTCTTAAGTAGTGAAATGAATGCATAAGATTTCAGGCTAAAGTTTGCTTCTATTTATAGCACTTCAAATTATTATGAATGAATTAAACTGTTTATATTAGACAAATTATATTGCAATTATTTAGTATATTTCATTTTTATCATCATATTCGTAGGAGGACCTCACTTGAGCTTCCCTTGGTTACTGTTCATGTATATCTATGATTTCTGACTTAAACTTATGTCATGTTTCTCTATTTCTTTCACACTTTTGTTTGTACCATGTATAGAGATGAACATAGGCTTGCTGGTTTCTCAGCAACTTTGCAAGCAATCATTTCCTTCGTTGAGACTGGGTATTGTAGTTGGCTTAGTTCTGGTTAATTATAGCCTGGTAGACTTTAATTATAGAAATATTCTTCAATGTATTTGATTCCTTATATGAATGTAATTTGAGAAGGATTGTTCAAATATTTATTTCTATTTTTTCAGGGATGACCATATCAAATTGGTGAGGGCCGAAAAACACATTTTTCTCTCGTAAAAGTTTTTGTTCATAAATATATAGTTTCATTTGAGTATTAATTCCTAATAAGCAGCACTTTAAGCCTTTATAACTAGTATCGTGTTATGCATAATAATATACTGATCCTTGCTCTACTTTTAAGTGTAAGATAGAAATACTAAATGTATGTTTTACTTTCGGTTGCTGAGTTTCTCATATTATGTTCATTAATGATTTTGTAGAGAGGATTTTATTTAATAGGCATTGTCGCTACTCGAAAAATGCAACGACGGAGAGGCGAAAAGAAAGACAGAAGATTCACCATCGAACTTTATTTATCCCATGAGGGGAAAGGAAAATATCGAGAAAACCTTAAGAAAGGAACGGATAAGATGGTCTCGCAACCAAGAAAACGGGTTCGGAAGCCGATTATGCGAAGGGAAGGTATTAGCACCCCTCACATCTATCGTACTCGATAGGAACCATTTGTTTTTCTACGTGTGAAGGTATTTGCTAAAAGGTTATTGATATAATGAGTGTTCCAAGGGATAAAAAGAAAGGTTAGAAATAGGGAAAGGAGAGATAAAGGGGAAGAAAAGAGACTCGGTAGGACCTTGCGGTCAAAGGCCTACGTATTCTCAACATATATGAGAAAGTCAGAGTCGACGTAGTTCGGGAAACCACGAATATAGAGGAATATGTGCTCGGCAAGGATTTTGGCCCTTGTGCCTACGTATCTTTACTTGAAACAAGTAAAGAATCAGAGCAGCCATAGTTCGGCCTACGGTTTGCTGGGAAGTTCTGGTAGACGATGCTAACATATGCATTTTAGCAGTTTAGATGTATTGCTGCTCGCTCATTGGAGACTTAGGCGTTAAATGTTTGCGGTAGAACGAACGTAGGATGTCCTTCTCGGGGAAAGGGTGGAAAAGAAAAAAGAGTGCTCGCCAAGACATTGTCGTCTCGTGCCTACGTATTCACATATAGTATGAGAAATCAGAGCAGCCGTAGTTTGGCCAACTACGGGTAACCGGTGTTTTTGTGGATGATGCTATCGTGCTCATTCTAGCAGTTTAGGTGTATTACTGCTCGCTCGTTGGAGACTTAGGCGTTACCTATTTGCGGTAGAACGGACGTAACATATCCTTTTTGAAATGATTAGTTTTCGCCTATCGAGGCAAGATGTCGCATTTGATTTATGGGAGTTGTTTTTAGGGGTGAAATAGGTCCTCAGATAGTAACCCCTTGCGGGTAGTACCCAAATCTTTATCTCAAAGTTTTGTTATGAAGTTGGTGTGGCGAATATAGTCGTGTTTTCGTATTGAAAGATGATTATCGAGACCATACACTCTACAGTGAGTATCCTGACACTCGGAGAGGAATAAGTCTACACTCAATCCTCTCTCTTTCGTTCAATACAAAGAGAAATTTACTCTCTTATTAAAAATGTTTTTGATTTTGAATGGTAAGTGCTTTGCGACAGTGAATCCTAAAGGTAATGTCAAGCACTCGGGATAGAAGAAGGCCTACGCCTAACCACTCCACGACCATTCAAGTTTTATTTAGGAAAAGAGTTTGAAAATGCAATCGGTACGGGACCGAGGTTTTATGAGAAAAGATTCGAAAAGAAGTTGTGAAAAAATGTGGAAAAGATAGGAGGCGAATACGAATATATACAGGATACAAATAATATACAGGATATATAACCAACAGTCCACCAATTTAGGTTTTATGGTTTCGATATTGATTAGGTGTTTTGAAAGAATGTACAAGTCAGTTTGAATATTTACAAGATATGAATAATATACAGAGTTGTAACAATATATACAAGAATATAATGACTGAATTTAAAACAGTTGATATTTGACAGAAAGTAAAGTTAGTGGTTAGTTCTGTTAATGAATAGAATCGGGACAAAATGTAATGCTAAAACCATCGTAGCTCGACTTATGATGGAAGTCGGACTATAGGAGGTCGCATAAATCGATATCCGTGCTATGGACAAGATAGAGAAATGATATTGAGGATCATTTTTCGATTAAATCGTGTTGCACGGACCAAAAAGGGGGGATCTCATCTTAATCGCAAACATTACGTCAATTAATCGAAGGTAGCCTATCACGATCCCAAAGTAAAGAAAATGACCCAAATGGTCATCTTCCATAGATTTGAAATCAAGAAGGTTATCGACTTCGATTAAACGATGCTTACTAATTGAAAGACTTCAGGGATCGAAAAAATGAATAGAAATCGAAAATGAAGAAGAAATGAGGAAAGAAAGAAGTTGATTTAAGGTAAACCGCCATCTATCAATAATTTGACAGATTATGGTTTTTTCGGGGGGTCTCTTCATCAACCAAAAAAGCGAATAAAATGAATAAAGCTGAATAAAAGTCAAAAATGAAAACTTGGTCTCGGATTTGTCACTATTCGTCAATAATTTGACAAACTACAACTTGGAGGTCTCATCATCGACCCAAACAAAATAATTATGAAAATAAAAACTCCAAGATAGATAAAACACTAAAATCTAGTTTTAGAAAAATATACTAACAATTTTTTAAAAATCTAATTAGGAAATATATATATAAATCTGAAAAAATATATAAGAAATATAAAAAAAAATTAAGAAAAACTAAATAGAAAATATATTAAAGACTTAAAAAACTAAATAGAAAATATTAACAAAAACTTATTTATTTAAAATATATTAACAATCTTAGTTTTAGAAAATTACATTAAAAAAAAAAAAAGGGTGTAAAGAGTGGTTTACGGATCATCTAGGCAAGGCCCATCACCACACAAGACGGAAGTGAAACAAACAGGGGGGTACAGATTCGGATATGGGCTTTCACAAAATCCATAGCCAAGATAACAAAAGCAAAATTAAAAGGCCAGCAAAAAGAAACAGCGAAATCCTTTTCTTTTCCACGTTCTAAACATCACAGATCCCTCCGCTGCAATTCCGTTTTCAATCTCGTTGTCACTTCCAATCTCTCTTCCTCCTTCTCAATCTTACTTCTCTTCTCTCTCTCTCTCTCTCTCTCTCTCTCTCTCTCTCTCTCTCTCTCTCTCTCCTCTCTCTCTCTCTCTCTCTCTCTCTCTCTCTCTCTCTCATCTCTCTCTCTCTCTCTCTCTCTCTCTCTCTCTCTCTCTCTCTCTCTCGCGGAAGCGCGGCTGTAAGGGTTGACCTGAGCACCGGGACAACAGTTATAGTAAGAAGCGTCGCGGCGAGAGCATGGTACAGTGTTCCTTTAAAGCACACCATAACTGATGTACTTTGTTGTTGCTAAAATACGCCTGTTGATCTTGTTATCAAACTGAAACTCTTCTTCACCTTGTTGCAACATGCAATCGGTGATGGTGCCTTGGTAAGTTGTTTTGGTTTGGCGAACCCATTCCATTCCGAGGTTGAATCCTCCGGCGTGTACTGTCGGTGGTGAAATCGTTAGCGTTAACAAGTCGGTAGCATAAATCATGAGGAGGAGGTGTGAATAGAAGCTCGGTGGCGCCATTGATTTTGTGTTTGAGGATTTTTTTGTTTTGGTTGTGAAAAAGAAAATGGATTAATAAAGGACGAGAGGTTTTTTTGGAGTATGGTGATTGGTGAGTTTCATGAAGGGTTGCGAAAGTAGACTAGATGTTGTTGTTGAAAGAAGGGTTTTGGGTTGAAGGAGAGATTGGCGTGAAGGTGGGGATGAACGACGGTAGGATTTTCGTTGGAAGAGAGGACGAAGATGGGTTGTGAATGGCGGCGGTTCTGGGCTTACGAGTGAGGTGGAGATGGTGATGAAGAGGAAAGCTTCTAACGGCACTAGGTTTTGTTAGTGAAGAAGATGATTAATATGGATTGCTGTTAGGGTTTAGTGGCTAGGTTTCTGGATGTGTTGAGAAGACGATGAACAGGAGAGCGTTTTATATGCTGCAACGTGTCGTTGTTTTCCATTTTTTGTCCTTTTCTATTAATTAAATTCATATACTAATAAATGATTAATAACTCTAATTAACTAAGTATTAATAATATTCTAATCTAACCTAAACTAATCCTATAACTAATTCTAACTCTAACAAATTCAATATTAATAATCTATTCTAAACTAAAGATCTAATCCTAATAAAACTAATAATTAAAATCTAATGAAAAAAACTAATTCTATTCTAATGTCTAAATTAATTTCTAAACTTAATTAATCAATATTCTAATTAATAAACTAAACTCTAAATCTAATACCTAATTAAAAATCTAATTTAAAACCAATTATTTATAATTCTAATCTAAATTAACACTAATTAATTTTAATAAGAAAAATCTATTTTAAATTAAAAACTAACTCTGTGTTCTAATTCTAATTAAAATTCTAACTTAAATATTCTAAGTTCTAATTTCTAAACAAATAAACCTAAATTAAAATTCTATTCCTAAAATCTAATTTCTAATTCTAATTGGAATTAAAATAATTCTAAAACTAAATTCTATTCTAACTAAAGTTTACTATTATATTATATTAACAAATTATATATGAAAAAAGAAATTAAAGCAAAGATAAATCACAAAATGCCACGAAATAGAAACGAAAAAAAGGGAGAACACCGAAATGCACCAAAATATCAGCACAGACTGAATCACCGGGAAGAGAACAACCTTTCACCCGATTTCAAAATGGAACTTATCATTTGAACTAGTTTAAACTGTCTAAAATGCGAATAAAACGGTTGTAATCCCGATAATCTCATTCTGGCTGATAACATGGACAGTATGCGAGAAATGATCGACCTAAATGATTTGGTATTGTGAAATCTTAATTAGTTTAAGTTATGGCACATGTGGTTTTTCTTGCGAAAGGACCAACCTACTTAGTATGTATTAGCTGCACAAAAGATTCTTAGGAGCCCTTAAGAGTGCAATTGGATCAATTTATGGTCAGGTATAATTGAGCTGAATGTTTGTATACAAAAAATTAATGGTTCATTAACTTTCTCATGATTCCTTCATTAAAATATACTAGTAAAGTTGTGACACTTATATGATACATCCATAGTTTTTATACATATGCAGATGATTGTTATACTGACAAAGTTAGTACACAGATATTTTGAGAAGAATCCAAAGTTTGATATGACGCCCTTGCTTGGTGGAACAGACACTGCCTTCTCTTTAATAATACAGTCTTTTAATAATACAGATATTAGATTCTTTTTTGGTTGTCTGTGTGTTTTTCCTTGGTCAGGCGAGTTGCAAAGATTGTTTGTTTGTTTAATATTTCTAGTTTCCTATCACCCTATGCTCTTTTGGTCCCTATTGCTTCCCCAAGCAGCCCCTTGCTCCAAGTCTATCTGGTTCAAGCTCACATGAAGGTGTTTTTGAGACTAGTACAAAAGTATTGTTAGATGGAAAACTGAGTTACTCAAATGAAAATTCTATTGTGGTTGAGGTTTCAAACTTAAATAAAGTCAAAGAAAGCTATATTGAGGAGTCACTTCAAGTATATTCATCAAGTTCCTTTGACGAGGACTCTGTTCTTAAGTATTGAAATGAATGTATAGGATTTCAGACTAAAGTTTGTTGCTATTTATAGCACTTCAAAGTATTATGAATGACTTAAACTGTTTATATTAGACAATTGATATTGCAATTGCTTAGTATTTATTGGGTATTTGTGTTGTTATTCATATTAGTGATCCTGTTTCTTTACTCTCTTTGCTGATCCTTATATGTTGATAATATTTTTTTTTATCAATCTGTTATGTACTAGAGGGATATAGAAGAGCCTGATATCCTCATCATATATATTTAGTTTAATATATATCATGTTTCTCACTTATGGTTGACAGGCGACATAGTTTTAGTTAAAATTTTCAATAAGCATGATGGGTCCACAATTTATGTTCACTGAGAGGTCTTTTTGCCTTTTTCACCAGTTAGTTGTATCTATACATACTTTATAGAAGGATTTTCCAGCTTATGAAATACTTTCAAATGATAAGCTTCTAACATATAAAGCGACATGGTGCTTGTATAAATGTAATATGATATATATGCTTAGTTGAATGAAGAATATGTGATTTTCTGCCCTATTCTGTTCATATTTCTACTAACAATTTTTTTTAAATTTAAAAATAAGTTACCTACAGATTTACCCGTAGAACAGAAATTTCCTACGAATTTACCTGCAGATGTACCTATGGAACAAAAAGTTGCGACGGTTGGAACCATCATAATCAACCATAAAAATAAAAATCAAATGAAAAGTTACGACAGTTGGTAATCGTCGTAATATGCATATTACATCAGTTCCATACTCTTCGTGAGAGATAACGATAGTTAGTGTGATGATTTTGACAACCAACGCGATACGGCCTCGCGACGCACGTTTCTGCAACAAAACTGCAACTACCGTGACTTCAAATTTGCGGCATTTCTAACCGTCGTAGCCTACTAAAATGAACCGTCGCAATTTGCCAATTTTCTTGTGGTAGTTTTGTCAAATAAACAATATGTTGTTGTTCATCAGCATTAAGTCGACTTAGAAACGAATTACCTTCAAATTTATCCGATAAACCATGGTTGTGAAGTCCATATTTACGTCAATCTTCCAACCAGAACCATCTTTTGACGATGTTGATCTAATTTTGAATGGACAACCACATTTCTTGGTAGCACTTTGTGTTTCACTATCTCCTTCTTTGTATTTTCCACCTCTATCACAACCAAATATAACTGTCACTTCTTCCTCTCTTGCCAATTTTGGTGTCCGAACGAGTTATTATAACAGTAATTCTATTCCTGATTCTGAAGTCCCTAATCCACCTAGTCTCCTCTTCTCGTATACCAAAATTTTCTGTAGTCGAGAATATCTCAGTCGTATCAACACATGTCTGGTTTTTATCGCATATCATCAAAGGAATATCCATCTCTGTTAAATATAAGTGTGACAAAAATTAATAAAACTAAAAATAAAAATAAAAATATTCGTTCTGGATCTCTTATTAGCAAGAAATTCGGCGACTAAAAAAAAGAAACTGAAACTCTCATTTGCAAGTTTTCCGATGACTACAAAAAAACAAACCGGAACTCTCATATGCAAGTTATCGGGTGACTAAAAAAACACAAACCAAAAATCTCATGTTGAAGTTATCCAGTTAAATAATATGAACCATATAACTAATCAACAAGTTATTCGAAGTGAAAAATTTGACAACCGGATTTCATTCTTGTAAGTTTTCCGGTTTGCTAAAAAAACCACCAAGATTTCGTTACCTTAAGTTATTCGGTTTGTGGCGTACGGTTCCCAACAGTAAATTTGAACTTATTTGACTGCATAGTAAAAAGTAAAAAAATAAAAAAATAAAAAAGAATAAAGTGAGAATATTTACAAAATTGTTTGGGTACGAGGATAAATGTTGGGGTATGAGTAACATTTTCTACAAATTATTAAAGAGATCAAAGAAAATTGTTCAACAAAATGGAATTCTATGTAGGTCCTAGGCACAGTACGGTTGTAGGAACCATGACGAACAAGTCGTAATGTGCTCTGTCTTCTTCTTATATGTTGGTGCACAAGTTTAAAAGAAATGAATAGAATGAGAGAATATATTTATATTTTGCAAATGACAGCTACAAAGTTGTAAGGAAGAATAATAAATGACATCTACGACTAGTCTATTTATACACAGAAAACTAGGGCCACATATGCAACATACTAAAGTACTAAAATACCCTATAATAAACTTAGTCTCCAAGTAATAGTAAAATAAAAATAATTTCTAACACCATCCCTGAATTTATATTTATCCAAAATAGACAACACCAATTTCATTCGTTAAGCGAAGAAATTGATCGGTCTTGATAGCCTTTGTCAGAATATTTGACTACTACTTCTAGCACTCCATTCTGAACCTGATTTCTCTGAAAGTGATACTTAGTCTCAATATGTTTGCTTCTCCCATGCTGCATTGGGTTTCTGGCAAGATTGATTGCAAACTTGTTATCAATCATTAGCTTTAGAGGCTTGTTAACTTTGATCTTCAGATCCTGCAGTAAGTTCATAATCCACACAGCTTGACATGCAGTCACAACACCATGATATATTCAGCTTCACAAGTTGACAGCGCAACAACAAGTTGTTTCTTGGAACACCAAGAAATAGGACCTCCCAGAAACTTAAACAAGTACAAAAGTACTTTTTTTGTCAACTCTGTCTCCACACTAATCAGAATCTGAATAACTTAGAAGTTCTGATTCAATCTTTATTTCAGAAGGGAATAACACTCCATATTTCAGAGTTCCCTTGATATACCTCAGAATTCTGACAGCAACTTGGTAATGAGATCAATTAGATTTACTCATGAACCTACTAACCATTCCAACTGCATAACATATATCAACTTTGGTATTGCACAGATACCTCAGAGAACCAACCAACTGTTTGAAGGTTGTAGCATCCACATCCTCACCATCAGAATCAGAACCCAGTTTCTGATTTGTATCTACAGGCGTGATAGAAGCCTTACAGTT